GCGGAGCTGTCAACTGATCACCACCTGGTGGTGAGTTGGATCCGATGACGGGGGAAGAAGCTGGACAGACTCGGCAGACCCAAACGTATTGTGAGGGTCTATTGGGAACGTTTTGGCAGGACCCCCTGTCCGAGAGATCTTTAACTTTCACCTCCTGCAAAGCTTCGACCAGAACCCGAGGGAGAGTGGAGACACTGAATCCAAATGGACCATGTTCTCCACCTCCATTGCCGATGCGGCCACTAGGAGCTGTGGCCGTAAGGCCTCTGGTGCCTGTCGTGGCGGGAATTCCCGCAGGATGCCATCAAGGTGAAGAAGGAGTCCTTTCGAGCTTGGTTGGCTCGTGGGACTCCTGAGGCAGCTGACGGGTACCGGTAGGCCAAGCGGACTGCAGCCCAGGTGGTTGTGGATGCAAAAAGTCGGGTCTGGAAGGAGTTCGGTGAGGCCACTGAAAGGGACCATTGGTCAGCCTCGAAGAAATTCTGGCAAACTGTCCGGCGCATCAGGAGGGGGAAGCAGTGCCCTGCCTTAACTGTTTACAGTAGAGGTGGGCAGCTGTTGACGTTGGATGGTGGAAGGAATACTTCGAGAATATCCTCAACCCCAGTGTTATGTCTCACGATGAGGAAGCAGAGGCCGGGGGATCGGAGGTGGACTCGTCCATCACCCAAGCTGAAGTCACCGAGGTAGTTGAGAAGCTTCTCGGTGGCGGGGCACCTGGGGTGGATGAGATCCGCCCTGAGCATCTTAAGTCTCTGGATGTTGCGGGGCTGTCTTGGCTGACACGCCTCTGCAACATTGCATGGCGGTCGGGGATAGTGCTTCTGGACTGACAGGACAACAAGAAGGGGGATCGGAGGGTGTGTTCCAACTATAGGGGGATCACACTCCTCAGCCTCCCCGGGAAAGCCTATGCCAGGGTACTGGAGAGGAGAATTCGACCTATAATCGAACCTCGGATTCAGGAGGAACAATGCGGTTTTCGTCCTGGCTGCAGAATACTGGACCAGGTCTATACCCTCTCCAGGGTGGTGGAGGGTTCATGGGAGTTTGCCCAACCAGTCCACATGTGTTTCGTGGAACTGGAGAAGGCATTCGACCGTGTCCCTCGCGGTGCCCTGTTGGGGGTGCTCTGGGAGTATGGGGTCCGGGGCCCCTTGCTAAGGGCCACCCGGTCCCTGTACGACCGGAGCAGGAGCTTGGTTCGCATTGCCCGCAGTAAGTCAGACTTGTTTCCAGTGCATGTTGGACTCCAGCAGGGCTGCCCTTTGTCACCAGTGCTGTTCATTATTTTTATGGACAGAATTTCTAGGTGCAGCCAGGGGGCAGAGGGAGTCCGGTTTGGGGACCACAGGATCTCATCTGTTTTTTGCAGATGATGTTGTCCTGTTGGCGCCATCAAATCAGGACCTCTAGCGTGCACTGCGACGGTTTGCAGCCAAGTGTGAAGCGGCTGGGATGAGAAGTCCAAGTCCGAGGCCATGGTTCTCAGTCGGAAAAGGGTGACTTGTTCCCTTCAGGTTGGTGGAGAGTTCCTGCCTCAAGTGGAGGGGTTCAAGTATCTTGGGGTCTTGTTCATGAGTGAGGGAAGGATGGAACAGGAGATGTAGAGGCGCATCGGTGCAGCTTCTGCAGTAATGTGGTCGATGTACTGGTCCGTCGTGGTGAAGAAGGAGCTGAGCTGTAAGTTGAAGCTCTCGATTTACTGGTCAATCTATGTTCCGACTCTCACCTATGCCATGAGCTTTGGGTCACGACCAAAAGGGCAAGATCCCGGATACAGGTGGCCGAAATGAGCTTCCTCCGCAGGGTGGCCGGGCGCACCCTTAGAGATAGGGTGAGGAGCTCAGTCACCCGGGAGGAAGCGCAGAGTAAAACCGCTGCTCCTCCACATCGAGAGGAGCCAGCTGAGGTGGCTCGAGCATCTGTTTCGGATGCCTCCTGGGCGTCTTCCTAGGGAGGTGTTCCGGGCATGTCCCACCAGGAGGAGGCCCCGGGGAAGACCCAGGACACGCTGGAGGGACTATGTCTCTCGGCTGGCCTGGGAACGCCTCAGCATTCCCCCGGAGAAGCTGGAGGAAGTGTCTGGAGAGAGGGAAGTCTGGGCATCTTTGCTTAGACTGCTGCCTCTGCGACCCAGTTTAGATAAGCGGAGGAAAATGGATGGATGGATG